ACTGCTGTTATTGTTACAGTAGTCTTATTACATAACTCATAGCGTTTATCCGCTGATTGAGATAATAATAAGAAAATATTTAGGGACCCTTCTCAATTTTGGGGTACTTTGACGGGATTTATGCGTATAAATCGTGGCATTTATACGTGGGATTTATATGATGACGGGATTTATGCACGATAAAATTGCTGTTGTTATTGTTACAGTCTTATGTTACATAACTCATACAATCGATAGGAAACAATTTAGGGGAGCTTTCTGTACTTTGACGAGATTTAATACAGTGACGGGATTTATATATGACATGTACAACACAATTTTACAGCTCTAAAGTGGTTTCGAATTTTCTTCCTTTATATACATTTTAATTTCGGCCGCAAGAGATTTTATCGCCTTGTTAGCATAGTCAGATCTTTTCTTCCAAGTCCTACCTGCGAATTCGCTAATATAACATTGAAAGGCTCCACGTAGGAATTCCATTTTCTTATAATCTAGTTTTTTGGATAAAAGTGCGCGATATACCATAAATGGATTGACAGGCTTCCTACCCCTCCCCCGCCTTCGCCACGCCCTAATTGTGTTAAGAATATCTTTTTCCGATGATGGCAATTCAAAACAAACAATACAGTTCCCATAGACTGCCCGAATTTCGCCATTGATAATATCGAGTTCGGCCTTGTCACTTTGCTTGAGTGGTGTGTAGCATTGTTAGTTGAAACGTTTGTATTCGTTTCACTAGGTTCGCTGCTTGAATCAATGTCGCCGATAGTATGATTAGCGAACTCTTGGTAGCTACTGTTGTTGCTGTCGCTGTTGCCACTATCGCTGCTGTCACTGCCGTTGCCGTTATCGTAATAAATTGGATACTTTGAAAAGTGACAAACAAAGTAGCAAATGTGACTGGGAGCGCAACTAAAAGAGCCATTGTTATTACCCCTTGTCACATTGGGAATGCTCTTTACATTATCGCTCACACCTTTCAGCAAAGCCTACATTACATCTCCGAGTGCGACAATGGTAGTCATACTGTACAATACGTGAAGAACGAGGAGGAATTGAAATCCATAACTAGGTGCAATATGCATACCAACCACGAAGATTTCTGTTGGACACGTCGCAATAGTATTTGAAGTCTTCGCCGTTGTTAATGATATGATTTTCATAGTCCAAGTAAGAGCGGAGATTGGGATCAGAAATGTGAAATGACATATTCAATGTGATCAATTTAAATTGTTCATTTGTGAGCTGTGGGCAACAAGTTTAAACAGTGCAATTCAGTACGAAAGCTTAAATATCCATATGCTATACTTATCGGTATAACTGGGGAGTAAAGTAATAAAAATAAATATACTCACCAAATGGTGTAGTCTTGATCCATTTGCTTATTATTCAAGTTCGATGCTTATCTTTATTTAATATTAATATTTTACTTTTTTGGATGTGTTCGGAAACTCGTATTCCGATCTCATGACATAAAAACGTACTGCGTGAAGTTGTGCTACTAACTATTTAAATCTTGACAAAAAAAACAATTAACCATAACAAGGTTTAAAAGCGTTATTTCCTAACACTTACAAACAGAAACGTTCGGGTCTTTCCGGAAAGCCAACCGACGCCGCGGTGGGAAACCTTATCAGTATTCACTCTCTATTCACTAGTTGAATTTGTGTATGTCAACTGGAATAAAGAAGTTGTTGTGTCTAATAGAAGTTAAATTACCTTAGCAAACTAACTTTTCGACCATTTTAATAAGCAGGATATTTGCAAAGAGAATCATGTTAGTCCTAATTTTATATCGGAGGCAAAAAATGCTGAATTCCAAGATTATCTCAATAAAGATAAGATTCGAATTTGCATCAGACAGTACATTACTGGAAGAAAACCCCATCAGAAACTCGGTGGACCAAAAAAGTAACTACAATACCTGTATGCTCTTTTTATACACATGAATATGTATAACAATGATCAAAAAGTAAATTGCTGTGTTTGAAACATATCAACTATCTAGGCTTCATAGAGAGAAATCTATTACAGTATTACGCACAGTTCGCAGTAGACACTTATTCCATGGTATGTATAGAGAGACAAATTTACTTAAAGCCACATCTTTTTAATTATTATTAATGGTCTCTAGACAATTATTACACGATCGGATAGAGTTAAGTTGGCTTCGTTATTCGACTAAGCTCTAGTTAGCATACCCCATAATTGAGAAGGGCCCCTAAAATTTTTTTCTTATTATTATCTCAATGGATTGTGATAAACGCTATGAGCTATGTAATATAAGACGTACTGTAACAAAATAACAGTAATTGTTGTGTTTTACTACCAAGCATAACTATGTTTACTTTCTTATTAATATGTTGTCTGGATATAAAGCCATTGTCGTGGTCTTGTTCTTGTTATTATTATAGCGTGTTAATAAAAATCTTAACAGTCTATTTTCTAATATTAATTCTCGTTGTTATTATGTAATTTCTGAATCAAATGTATGTCCACAATTATTTTTTATAATTATTTTTGAATACTTTCAAATTGAATCTATAGTCACTGTTCTAATCCACATATCGATCGACACATTAGAGATTCGACCATTACTACCTTGCAGGGTAATCGAAACAAATAGAAAGTATCGAAGACGAACCTCTGGGATTTTGAATGTTACTTATGGAGGCAATGACTTGAATTTAGTGGAAGCAGCCGAGCTTTCTGAGCTGGATAATATACCAGAGGCAGCAAGAGCCCAAAGCTGACAGCGGTCGACTGATAATGTGTTGTACATGCACTGATGGCCGATGCGGTTGTAGAAAAGCAAAATAGAAGTGTGACAGTCGATGCCATAAATCTAGTGTTAGTTGAGTAAACTTCTAATAATGGATGTAATCAATAGATGCGAAAAAAAAAAACCAAACTTTATTTTGTAACTAATAATGGTATATTACATAATAATAAAATAGTGAATCTTATAAATATAGCTTATACTTGCTAGTAAACATAAAGTTATTGTTACAGTCTTATGTTACATAACTCATACAATCGATAAGAAAAAATTGAGGGGATCTTTCTCAATTTTGGGTACTTTGACGTGTGAAACACAATTTTACAGCTCTAAAGTGGGTTTCAAATCTTTTGCCTCTATATATTCGTTGATTTTTATCGCAAGAAATTTTATCGCCCCTTTAGCAGAGTCGGTTTTTTTCTTCCAAGTCTTGCTTGCGAATCCGCTAACATAACATTGAAAGGCTCCACTTGGAAAATCCTTTTTCTTATAATCTAGCGTTTTGGATAACGATAAGAGTGCGCGATATACCATAAATGGATTGACAGGCTTCCTACCCCTCCCCCGCCTTCGCCACACATTAACTATGTCACGTATTTCGTTATCCGACCATGGCAATTCAAAACGAACAGTACAGTCCTCCCAGACTGCCCAAATTTTGTCATTGATAATATCGAGTTCGGCCTTGTCACTTTCGCTTGAGTGGTGTGTGTGAGTGGTAGCATTGTTAGTTGAAACGATTGTATTCGTCTCATTATTTTCTACTGGTTCGCTGTTTGAACCAATGTCGTAGATAGTGTGGCTAGGGAGCCTTTGTTCTCTTTGGTAGCTGACGTCGTCGGCGTATTTACTAAAATCTTCGTCAGTTATGGAATTCAACTCCTCGTTGTTCGCGTAATGACTGCCATTGAATGTAGTGAACGAGATCATCGCCAATGTGACAAGGAGGATGCTTTGCAATAGAAGTTAAAGTCTTCACCTTGTTTAGATAAAAAGTGAAAGTTTTTAATCATTTTATAGTGCTTGCGCCGCAGCATGTTCTGCCAATTGACCAGTGTTTCGGGGAAGAAACTCCGAATTAGAAATTTCCGCTGATTCAATGAACCAAGAAAGTAGTCACAATATGAACATTCGTATGTTCTTCTATTTATGAAACATACGAATAAAGGGGATGTGTTCCTTGCTGCGGTCTGCAACCATTCCATTGTCTGTAGACTTCGATATATCGAACTTGAATAATGTATAACAATATCGATAATGAGAAGGCATTGGCAAGGAAATTTACCTCGCAACTGTAAATAAACATTTATTTGAAACACATCATTATGTTCACTATCTAACTTTCATACAGAGAGTATGTACAGTTCGCATTTTCCCAAATTTGACAATACCGATCGTTGCCTTTTATGATAGTGGAAGAATCTAGAAAAAAATTTCCAACATCCTAACGAACTGGATTTTGTATTTGAAAGGATACTGTAAAATATTATCTAAACAGAATCGCTCATGGTTTTTAATTAATCACTATAAGATCAATTTCCATCACAAACTTAATACGATCTTTTAGTCGTTCATCCAACCATTCTTTCAGATAGGAGATTGCCGATTAAAATTAATCTAACTAATTTTCGTAATCTTCATTGACGGAAGAATGGAATGTCTTTAGCTTCCAGTTTCGAATTCGTCGTATACCGAAACGTAACTTTAAACAGGAACTGCTTTGTAAAGTATACTCGCAAAAGTGTTATCGAACACCAGTCAGATTTCGAGTACGATCTACAAACCGAATTCTCTAGGCACTAATTAAGTTGGCCGCCATTCTACTGACTTTGTGTACAATCTAGTTTTATATCGTTAGCGAAGTCGGGTGTATGCTTAAACATAGTACTATTTACGTTTTGCCTTTGGGTCGAACACTGACAACATAGTCAGTAATACTGGAGAATTAATTTATACGCGAGAAGTTAAATATAAAAGATTTTATTCTTAATGTATTTTTTTTGTTTTTCTTAAAGCGTATATACAAACACTCGATCATTCACAATTTTACGACAACAAAATAAGCTTTCAGATTTTCTGCCCTACTATATACATGTGTCTACAGGACTTTTATCTTTCTTCCATTGCGCAATCTGTAATATAACTCGGGGAAAAAAATTTTTTTTATATGACCCTGGTTACGTGATGGGACACACGCTTGCCCCGCTTCCGCCACTTCCTAACAAAACATGATATCGAGTCTAGCCTTGCGAAATCATGTGTGAGTGGCATGTTGTTCAGTATCGTTGGATGAAACGGTCAAATTACTATCATTATTTTTTACTGGTTTATCATTTGAACCATAAAGATTGAAGTCGCTGATAGTGTTGCTAGGACATTCTTGTACTTGCTGGTACTTGCTGATATAATCGCTGGTATGGACGTTGTCGTTGATGTTGAGGTTGTTGATTTCGCCGGTTATGCTGTCATAGTTGTCGTTATCGTTGCCGTCGTCATCGTCGTCATCGCAGCTGCTGCAGCCGTAGTGGTTTTCTATACTATCATTGTCATTGTCGTTGGTGTTGTTATTGTAATAAATTGGATATTTTGAAAAGGGATAAACAAAATAAACGCCATTGTTATCACAGTGGATATAGAAATCTTCGTGGTTGGGATGCACGTTGCCCTTAGTTATGGATTTCAATTCCTCCTCGTTTTTCACGTATTGTACAGTATGACTACCATTGTCACATTCGGAGATGTAATGTAGGCTTTGGCTAAAGGTGTGAGCGATAATGTAAAGAGCATTGCCAATGTGACAAGAGTTGGACGTGTTACAATAGTATTTGAAGTCTTCACCGTTGTTAATGATATGATTTTCATAACCCAAGTAAGAGCGGAGATTGTGATCAAAAAATTGAATTGACATTGTGTATATTCAACCCTTTTTTTTGTTTTCCGAATATCGTTTTCTTCGCGTTTGTTCAGATAAAAAGTGAGAAACACTTCGATTAGTTTTATTGTCTTGCGCCGCAGAATGTTCTGCCAATATCAGCGTTTCGGAGAAGAAACTCCATCAGAATATTTGGTGGACCAAGAAAGTAACTACAATACCGTATGTTCTTCTATATGTGAACATGATATAATTATACAAATAAACGCATGCGCTCCTTGCTGCAGTCTCAACCATTGTCTGTAGACTTCGATATAATGTATAACAATATCTATGATGAGAAGGAAATTACCTCGCAACTGTAAATGAACATTTATTTGAAACATCTATCAATACAAAGAGAAATGTTATGATTGTAGACATTTATTCCATGACATGTATAGAGATACTAATATGAATTTGCTCATGTATATCAAAACCTTTCCCTGCCAATTTTCTTTTAATTATTATTTATGGTCTCTAAGCAATTATTCAGCAGAGTTAAGTTGGATTCGCTATTCTATTGAGTTTGTGCACAATCTAATTTACATAGTACTATTTACGTTTTGCTTTTGGGTCGAACATTGACAACATAGCCAGTAATACTAGAGAATTGATTTGTACACGAGAAGTTAAATATAAAAGATTTATTTTATATGTAAGAGATTGGCTCCATTTTTTATTTTATTCTTTTTTAAGGCATATATACAAACACTCGACCATTCACAATTTTACGACAATAAAATAAGCTTTCAGATCTTCTGCTCTTCTATATACATGTTAATTTTGTCTGCAAAACTTTTATCTTTTTTTCCATTTGCGTAATCTGGAAGCATAACATTGAATGACTCCATGCTCCTTAGGGGGAAAAAATTGCGATGGATTGACACGCTGCCAGAACAGAACAATCCCGGACCGCGCAAGTTTTGTGATTGATGTATCGAGTCTAGCTTTGCAGAAATCGTGTGTGATTGGCATGTTGTTTAGTATCGTTGGATAGAACGGTCAAATTATTGTCACCATTTTTTACTGGTTTATTACTTGAACCACAAATATTGAAGTCGCTGATAGTGTTGCTAGGACATTCTTGTACTTGCTGGTACTTGCTGATATAATTGCTGGTATGGATGCTGTTGTTGATGCTGCTGTCGTTGTCGTTGATGTTGAGGTTGTTGATTTCGCTGGTTATGCTGTCATAGTTGTCATTGTCGTTGTCATCATCGTCATCGCTGCCGTAGTGGTTTTCTATACTATCATTGTCATTGCCATTGTCGTTGTCGTTGTCGTTGTCGTTGTCGTTGTCGTTGTCGTTGTCGTTGTCGTTGGTGTTGTCGTTGGTGTTGTCGTTGTAATAAATTGGATACTTTGAAAAGGGATAAACAAAATAAACGTGACTGGTCATGAAACTGAAAGGGCCATTGTTATCACTGTAGATATAGAAATCTTCGTGGTTGGGATGCATGTTGCACCTAGTTATGGAATTCAACTCGTTCTTCACATAGTGTACAATATGGCTACCATTGTCGCATTCGGAGATGTAATGTAGGCTTTGCCGAAAGGGGTAAACGATAATGTAAAGAGCATTCCCAATGTGACAAGAGTTGGACGTGTTACAATAGTATTTGAAGTCTTCACCATTGTGATTTTCACGCTCTAAGTAAGAGCGGAGATTGGAATCAAGAAATTGAATTGACATTGTGTATATGTTGTTGTTGTCTGTTTCTGTTTTTGAATATGGTTTCTGCTTTACGTTTGTCCACTTTATATCTTTTATATATAATGCATTCTATTTACGATAACCTTATATCTGTACATGTGCTGCCATTTAATTTGTATTAAAAGCTATTGGAGACATTACCTAATTAAACTACGATATGGCTTATTTTAATGGATAGGTAATTGTTGTCGCACGTGTTTTCGGGAAAAACCGATTGTTGGGGCATTAACTATTGAGAACAGGATGGTAACTGGATTTTTAATTAATCTAATGTATTTCAAGATTTGGGCGTTGACGATCAACATACACACAGGGGTAATTCATCCATAGACTTTAATGCATTATGTATCCCCTAGCTTGTATGCATTATACAAGTCATGGGATCCTTGGGAAGAACACCGGTTTAAGTTGGTACCACTCATTTTTTGTAGTGAATGTAATATTCTTCGCTTTCTGATCTCTGTTTCTTTTGACTTCAATTTGTTCTTTGCCTTCTACTGAATTTATCGAGAGCTCTTTTTTTATGTAATCCGAGTTTCAGAAATTGGTCGTACGCAATTTAAATAACTAAATGCTTATTTACTTTAATAATAACGCCGTCTGCGTTCAAGAAAGTTTTTAAGAGCGTTGAATTTTTAGCTAATTTTCGAGGAAAACATTAACTTGGCTGGGAGATATGCCAGTAAGGAATTGTCCCCAAAACGTTACCATAAAGATACAGTTATGTTCAAATGCTCTTTATTACGATTTCATACGCATAGTATGATCATTAGAACGTCGAACCATGTTCGTTCCATGTCTACTCTCTACGTTTTACCTATAAGAAAATCTCTGCTTAAAATGGTATAACAAACATTTTGTTTCCGAACTTTTTGCCCTTCGATTAATAGCTCATATACTCATTGAGTACTTAGTTCATAAAGTTAACTAAAAAACCAACCGTTTGCTTCCATACAGTTTAATTGACAATTTTTCTTTCTTGAGCAAACCAATGTATGCTAACACTAGAAAGAAAACTTAACGGGTTACAAAATACAATGTTGTTGAATATGATAGTGAATAGTGACAATTTAATTGGTGAACATAACTAACTTTGTAACATAACGGCTGGGTTTTATTGTGTGTTTACGATAAAATGTTATCGGAAGAACTTATCTATAGAAAATAAAAACAGTAAATAATTAAATGCGTTTGTACGAAGTTTCTAAAAAACACTTCGATCCATTTTGTTGTGCTCGCGCCGCAGTACGTTCTACCTGTAAGATCAGCGTTTCGGGGAAATAACTCCTAATTAGAAATTTCCGTGAAAGTAACCACAAACACCGTATGTTCTTCTATATATATGAATATAATGTGATTCATACAAATAAAAGGCATGCGTCCTTGCTGCAGTCTTTACAATTATCTGTAGACATTGACATCGAACTTGAATATAAGTAAAACCCGTTATAAGAAACCTTCGATATAAGAAATATGGCCTATGAGAAAGATTTTTACCGGGTTTTACTTACAATATGAAGATGAGAGGGAAAATTATTCGCAACTGTAAATAAACATTTATTTTGAACGTATCAATTATCTAGGCTTTATGTAGAGAGAAATGCTATTATGCACAGCTGCCCTTCACTTGTAGATACTTATTTCCATGGTACGTACAGGGAGACATATCAATGCATGAATTTTACCCACGTATCTCAAGACCTCAAGTCTTCTAGGTTATTATTAGGCAATGGGATATAGTTAACGATGTCAGATTATGCTCGAACATAGTATTGTTTACGTTTTGTTTTTATTAAACACAAATTCCCTTTTGTCGAATATTGTTATTCTACGGACAACATAAGCCAGTAATGTTAAGTTATGGGTCTGTAAGAGAAGTAAGATATAAATAATTTTTATTGCCTTTTTTTTGTTTTCTTTTTTTTTTTTACACTTTTTTAAATATATATACAAAACATCCGATATTCACAGTTTACAGTACAGTTCTAAGTAGGCTTCGAATTTTCTTTCTTTATACACGTGTTAATTTCGGCCGCAAGAGTTTCTATTGCCTTTTTAGCAGAGTCGGTTTTTTTCTTCCAAGTCTTGCTTGTGAATCCGCTAACATAACATTGAAAAGCTCCACTTGGAAATTCCTTTTTCATACAGTCTAGTTTTTTGGATAACGATAAGAGTGCGCGATATACCATATATGGATTGACATGCTTCCTACCCCTCCCCCGCCTTCGCCACATCTTAACCATGTCACGTATTTCGTTATCCGACGATGGCAATTCAAAACGAACAGCACAGTTTCCATAGACTGCCCGAATTTCGCCATCGATAATATCGAGTTCAGCCTTGTCACTTTCGCTTGAGTGGTGTGTGCGAGTGGTAGCATTGTTAAATGAAACAGTCGTATTAGTATTACTATTTTCTACTGGTTTGCTGTTTAAACCAATGTCATCGATAGTGTAGCTAGGGGATTCTTGGTAGCTTTCAAAGCATGTGCTGTTGCTATCGCTGTTGTTTTCTATGCCGACATTGTTGTTGTTGCTGTTGCTGTTGTTGTTGTTGTTGTTGTTGTTGTTGTTGTTGTTGTTGTTGTTGTTGTTGTTGTTGTTGTTGTTGTTG